TTTAGCCTTTGTTGTCCAGCTTGGATCCAGTGGGTTTCGCTGATTCCCAGTACTGCTAAGTTGTATCTCCTCATTTCCATTGCTATTTGACTGGTCTTCCCGGTTTCCCACATTGTTCGAACGTTCCATGTACCTATAAAAATTTTTGCACTGGTTGTTAGAAGGGGCATCGGCCTCGTGGCTTCCGAAGGAACTCGGCTTTCATGATGAGGCGTCATAATTCTTCTAAATGAAGACCTTCTAACTCCCAGGACAGAGTTTAAATGGTTTGGATTATTTTTTCTGGTAAGCGTTTTTTTAGCGAGTTAGTTTTCTACGGGATGGGGACGCTAACCCCATGCCCAACCCTCCTCCTTTACCCGGGCTTGGGACCGACAGTAACCCTATAAGAGCTACAAGCGGAGTTTACAACGGAACAGTAAGGATCCGAAAAGATAGGGACACTCGTCGTTGCCTCTTCGTCGTCTCTGCCTATTCTCCCACTGACTGCAGCGCAGATGATGTAAAAGATGAGTTTTACAGAAACCTCTCCGACCTCCTCCTAAAAGCTAGGCGCTCGGATGTAGTAATAGTGGCCGGTGACTTTAATGCTCAAGTAGGTAAACTAAGCGATACGGAAAGACACCTAGGTGGATCTTATAGTGTCGTGGCTCAAAGAACAGATAATGGCGACCATCTGTTGCAACTATGCTCAGATAACTACCTGTTCCTTGCAAATACTAACTTTAAACATAAGGAAAAACATCTTTTAACATGGCGACCCCCTAATTCGTCCCAACGTTGGACCCAAATAGATCACATCGCTATCAGCCACCGATGGAGGAACTCGGTAGGAGACTGTCGCTCATTCTGGAGTACATGCCTAGATTCAGATCATGCTCTAGTGCGAGCGCGTATTTGCCTGCGTCTTATTGGACGTAGGAAAGACGCTGCAAGGAAACCTCTTAGGGTCATACTCAATGATAATCAAGCTAAGAGTATATTTCAGGAACAACTAGGAAAACAGTTAGACAGCTATATATGTGATGCTCACCCCGAGGCAGTATGGAATGATATCTGAAAAGCTGTGGAAACAGCAGTGATATCTGTTAGTACGGTAAACCACAAGGTTAGGGAGAAACACTAGATCTCAGCAGCATCTACCGCACTGATAGATGCTCGAAAACTCATTCCACCTGGCTCTGAACATAATGAAGAGCGGAGTCAGCTTAAGCGCAAGCTGATAAGAAGCCTACACAATAATCGTGAACAGTGGTGGGTAGCGGAAGCAAGAGAGATGGAAAAGGCAGCGGCAATAGGTAATAGCAGACAATTGTTCAGACTTGTTAAGGAAACCGGTATTAGGAAGCCGACTGTTAGCGAAACAATCTCAGAGAAAGATGGACATATTACACATTCTCAATCCAGGAGATTGGATCGATGGGCAGAACACTTTAGGGATCAGTTCAACTGGCCTTCAGCCACACTTCGGTTTCCCACGACATCTAGTCAACCTGAATGGCAAGTTAATGTAGGTCCTCCGTCTCTTTACGAAGTTGAAAAAGCCATAGGAAATCTGAAGCGAGGGAGAGCAGCAGGCCCTGACAGGTTTACTCCTGAGATTTTTAAGGATGGTGGTCCAGTATTAGCAGTGAGATTAACTGAGGTCTTAGGTAGAATTTGGGAACTGGACGTAATCCCATCTGACTGGTCTCAATCACTGATTGTGCCAGTCTATAAGAAAGGACAAAAGTCCTCTTGTGACAATCACAGAGGAATCAGTTTGACTAATATAGTGTCTAAAATATTAGCTTCAATAATACTTCGACGCCTAATCAAAGCTCGTGAAGAGCAGACTAGAGAAAATCAGGCTGGTTTTCGACCTGGACGTGGTTGTATAGATCAGATATTCACACTACGTCAGGTTCTAGAACACAGACACACATTCAGACGCCCCACAATGGTAGTATTTCTCGACCTTAAGGCGGCATTCGACTCTGTCGATTGTGAGGTTCTATGGCAGTGTTTGTCACTGAAAGGAGTACCAAAGAAGTACATTAACCTTATAAAGGCTCTCTACTCGAACACAACTGGTAGAGTGAGAGCTTATGGCGAACTGTCATCAGAATTGATTACCTCAAGTGGTGTTCGTCAGGGCTGTCCACTCTCCCCATTCTTGTTCAACTTTGTCGTCGACGTACTTTTAGAGATAACACTCTCCTCATCTAAATTTCCAGGGGTTGAACTTCTACCGGGAGGTTCACTTGTTGACTTAGAATATGCTGATGACATAGTTTTATTTGGTGAAGACGCTGACAAAATGCAGAGTCTTCTGACCACTCTAAGCAACAATGCAAGCATGTTCGGGATGCGATTCTCTCCCTCGAAATGCAAAATGTTGCTTCAGGATTGGGTTGCATCGACACCCGAACTAATGATAGGGAGTGAAGTAGTTGAGTGTGTCGACCGCTTCACTTATCTTGGAAGTCTCATCAGCCCTTGTGGTCTGGTGTGTGACGAAATCTCAGCACGGATACAGAAGGCTCGACTAGCTTTTGCCAACTTGCGTCATTTATGGCGTAGGCGAGATATCCGTCTATCAACCAAAGGACGTGTTTACTGCGCAGCAGTTCGTTCCGTCCTACTTTATGGCAGTGAAACATGGCCGGTAAGAGTAGAGGATATTCGTAGGTTACTAGTATTTGATCATAGGTGTCTTCGAAATATTGCTCGTATATCATGGGACCATCGAGTAAGTAACACAGTTGTTAGGAAACGGGTACTAGGTAAGGATGGCAAATCAATTGATGACGTAGTGAAACTTCATCAGTTGAGATGGCTGGAACACGTGTTACGTATGCCCAACCACCGACTGCCCCGACGTGCGATGTATTATGGTGTAGGAGTAGGTTGGAAGAAAGCTAGGGGTGGCCAGACCAAAACATGGCACAAATCCATGAAGTCACTGACAACTGGACTGAGTCATGTTGGTAGGTGTAGACTACCTGGTTGGGAACCGCGAGACGATAGCAACCGATGGTTAGAGACCCTGAATGACATGGCTCAAAATCGTTTGCAATGGTGCAGGTACATCCACTCTTTGTGTTCTTCCAAATTTTGATCTCCTTATTCCTCCTTGTTTCTTTTTTTTCTCTTCCTAAATTTATTTCACTGTATTATACTCTTTAAATAACATCTCCAAACGCTAATTTTCCCGATTACTGCTTATACTCTTATTACTCTACCACTACGGGATTTGAATCGACCACTGCATCTCTGTGCTAATGTGATATGGCAACTCGAACTGATGTACGTACGTACGAATTTCTACGTTGTTACTGACTGACTGACTTATGTGCTGCATATGTATTTGGTGCCCCTTTGTACCAATATTTATGTGCTCAAGTAAATAAATAAATATGTAAATGACACAGAAACCTGACGGAACTCTTTAACTTGCATCACTTTTGAGGTTAATGGTCTCTAGTTGATCTATGCTCATTAGTAACCTGATTGTTTACATAATATCGTGTAGCAGGATAAAAGAATCCATTCAGAAATATTTTAAACATACTACCCTTTCTTCTGCTAATATTCCTTTATTTGAGCTATTTGTACAACGGGATTGATACTACTGAGTACGGATTTATGTACTTAGCTTTAACCCATGTTGTTTGTGTGTGGGTGTTTTGGGAGGGTGTAATGACACTATTATAGCATCCATACTGAATCAGTAATTTGGAGTTCGAACCTTTCACATATTGGTTGAAAGGTGATCTGCTGTAACCTCACTAGGCAGCCGCTATTATCAAACATCAAAATTTGACATACTAAACAAACGAGTTGCCAAATCTTTTCCTTGAAAAACCTAATCAGTTCATTATTTTTAAAAGTCGTGCCAAAATTATAGAAAAAAGTATTATAGTATTGTTTACTAATTATTTGGTGAACATACATAAAAAGTCAATGGAACCAGCATTTAATACAATGAACAACAAATGGCTTTCGATTAAGATCACACGTTTCATAAGAAATCTCGGGATTGTATTGATAATATGCTGAAAATCCCCATTTTGACATTTGGTAAATAAAGAAGGAACGAATTGAGAGAAGAAATTTCTTTTCAATTAGCTTTTTATCATATATGTTCTCGGAAGACTACATAAGCAATCAATCGCTACAGTAAAATTAAAGTGAATTAGACCTGAATTCATAATCACACAGCTGGAAAAGTAATTTAATTATTATACCCATAATATCAGTAAGTTTATCAAGTATGAAAAGCCTACTAGAATATTATTTATTTATTTTAACACATAGATACTGGTACAAGGAGGCACCAACTACATATGCGCCACACAAATCTCATTCGATATGTGTGAGGGCTGTGATACTGCCCGGGTCCCCAGACCGAGGCAGGTGGTTTTCTTAGGGGGCCACTCCCCGAGCCTTCGACCTGAAGGCCTGATCCACAAGGTAATGGAGCATCGTAAGGAGATGCAGTCCCATGGAAGCCGGTGACCAACAGTTGGTTCATACGCCATTTGTTCCGCAGGATACTGGAGCCCATGTGCACGATTGATTTGGTTTGGGATCCGATTAAAGCACCGGACATTCGCTTTTCATCCTCATTTTCGTAAACAACACCCCTGCCACGAGAAGGTAGTGAGTAGGACTTCCCTGGAAGAGGCTATATACGCGTGGCCATGTGAGAGCATTTCGAGAGGGAGAGCGGACCCTCCCCACTCTCGGCCGCACCAGGGCATTTGGGGGTCTACTAGCTCAGTGGTCTAGTTGGTTAAGCGCGTGGCGCGAGACCGATAGGTCCTGGGTCCGAATCTCGCGGGGCGGGATCGTGGATGCACACTGCTGAGGAGTCCCGTGTTAGGACGAAACGGCCGTTCAGTGCTTCCACGTTTTCCATGGTGGTCTAGTTTCAACTGACTCATGATTTCACTCAAAAAAAATATAAAAAACTCTACTAGAATATACCAAAACAGTACTAAAAAATGGTTGCTCACCCAGCAGCAACATAAATCTTGCCAGCTAATGGGCAAGCACCAACGTAACAACGAGGGACATTCATACTTGTAACCAAAGTCCACTGAGCCAACCATGTATTATAAGCTTCTACAGTATCCAAATGTGAAGGACCGCGGCCTTCAGCGCCACCATAACCACCGCATACATAAATAGTATCCCCCAACAAAGCACAACCAGCTCCCGACCGACGCATGTACATTGGTTTGCACACAGACCACGTACCACAATGAAGATCAAAGCTAATTAAAATAAAAAGTACCGATAATAAACCCATGATGCACAAACGGTACACATGCGACGTTCGCAAGACTGACACTTTTAAAGGGTTCATTTGACACAAGCCTTTCATGAAATTATGAAAAAGTAAAGATATTAACAGCCATTTGTGTCTATTAATATTTTTTAAATTCACAAATCAGTTATCTCAGGAGTAGATTTTAATAAACAAGGGAAACAGAAAAACATATGACAGATCAATAAACGAATCATGAACAGGTATACAAATGTTTGTGCAGTATTAATGTTAAGAATTAGTGGTATTCGATCAGTTTGGTAGTAATATTAATAATCATGACATGACAGATAGAAAAGCAATCTCTTTGGTTGTTTGGTGACTTTTATCTTTATTCCTGACTAACGATATACCAAATATGGAGTAAAGCGTTAATGCTTAAAGAACATGTTATAACGCTCGGCTTTACTTCGTCTAATGTTATAACGGTTGGGTTTCCACTTTTACATGTATGGGATGTTAATTTACCTTAGACAAATATCTACACCAGATTCCCTCCCAGTGTCTATTCTACAGGACTTCAACACAACTCAGATCAAGAACACGTGATTAGCCTGACCACAACGTAAATATATTTCCACACCAAAAAACCCGACACAATCCAACAACATTGAACAATCAACCAATGGTTGGAGACTTTTGGTGACATGGCTCAGAATCGATCACAACGGCGTCGGTGTATACACTCTCTGTCTTCCCTTAAACTAAGAGATTAAAATTGCTTCATATCTTCCTTTCTATGAACTACTTTCTTCCTGTACTATATCCTTATATGCAATCTTTCTTTTATATATTACCACCTCTGAATTAACTACTTTTATGAATCCGGTGTTCACCTTGTTGTGTTAATGAGTTATGGCAACTTGGACAGTTGCATATATGTGCCTGGTCCTATGTTGTAGCTGACTGACTGAATAATAATAAGGATAGGGGAATATATAACTCATCTGACACCTGTCAGACTATCTACATGTCTGACTAAGCAGACAACCAGTCATTATCATTCTCGCCCACACATCAGAACTCCACGTTTAAACACTGGAACATTGGTTTTAAACATATTCCTATCTTTAATTTTATTCTTTATAAATAGCAGCATACAATTTTTAACGAAAGAAATCTCTTGTTTCGTTATTATTCGGACAGTATATTATGGTACATTTATTTCGTTCTTAATATATATCTTTTCGGTGAGACTATAATTTATGGACGAACCAATGAGGTATAAGATAAAAGGTCTCGGATTTTGGCGCGAAATTCACTCATCCATTTGGCTAAATAAAGTTTTGGCATTATAGCTTATGTCAGTTCGTGATGAAAACCCTAAATCTAATTCCTAACCTTAACCATCAACTGTAAATCATAATTATAATTCCTCACACTGATTTATAACCGTCATTGTTGAATAACCAAAAGGTTCCATGTCCATTTGTTTAACTAAAATTCACGGATACAGAACGCCTTATACTTATTGTATATCTCAGTAGAACTATAAACATATCTTCAGGTACTCATCAGCTACGAAGTATGGGCTGAACAAATAGACAATAATGATGACTATTCGGAAAAAGATATATTGGAATAAATTAAAATGATCAAGTGGAGGAATTATATTGCAAAACATACAAATAAAATAAGTGGACATAGAAGAATGCACACATGGAAATACCGATTAATGAAACTAGTTCAGAGAGTAAACATGAAATCAAGGCTAATGATGGTTAATCCCAGTTTCATAGATTGTAATGGCTATTGTTTTACACGTACTTACACATTGTTATTTGACGACTGAAAGTTATGTTATTCGGGTGGTATCTTTTGTACATAACCAATGATTCCATCCTATTTGGTCAGTGGCTTACACATTATATATTTATTGAGTCGGGATTCGGGCATCGACTTTATAACTGTTCATACTCTAAGTTACCTTTATCATTGGTTAATAAATAGTGATATCGTTATACGCTTGGGTCAGTTCGTGCTAATATTTAGCACACTTATAGTTTTCCGTCATACACATAAGGTTTTGATTGGGTTTTTGTCGAGAACTAGTTACACATTATCTTAAGTTAACAACAATCCGATTACACTGGCCGAATCTGTTAAGAAATACGGCTGATATTACTCCTAAAATAAAAACGGTGGTGTACAGTGTTTTAGTCAATTCAGGTAGGACAGCACAGCAGTAGATTGACATTAAACGATTCTGAATCAGACACACTATTTAGTAATCAACTCATGTAAGAGATTTTCGTACCAACAGTGGTATTATAACAAAGATGTATGTTAGGTTATTTCAAATGAGAAATAAGTTTTAATTAATTTAGCAAGTAATGGAAAACTATTTTTTGATTTACATAACTGTGTTGCTTGCTAAAGCTCGACAACCTTTATAAGACGGTGTCCCTTTCAACACAAATATAATTGTATGAAATACTACGCGGTTCTCTACATATTTGATTCCATGACAAATTCCGTTCCATTTTGAAAACGGATATTATTTTACAAACACTTAAAACGATATCCGAAAATATCACCTTCCTGGTACAGTGATAACTCAATCTGTAGCTCTTCTAGAGTTACTGCCGCTCCCAAGCCCGGTTAAAGAAGGACGGTTGGGCAAAGGTAAGCAACCCCATCCAGTAGAAAACAATCTTGCTAAAAAAACTAACAAGATTAAACATTTTAACTTCTGGTCTGATGGGTTGACAGAAGAACTATGACACATCATGAGGAAAGCTGAGATTCTACGGAAGTCACGAGTTCTATACCCCGTCTAGTAAGCAGGGTAAAAAGTTTTATAGATACATGAAAAGTCAGGAAAATGTGGTTGACCGGAAGGACCACCAAATAAGCAACGGAAATGAAACAAACAACTTGGCGGTGCCTCGGAATAACTATAAAAATTCAATTCAAACGGCGAATCAAAAGCTAGATACGTGAGAAACGTTGCTATACTCCGATCACGAAGAAAATGCTCCACACACACAGGGAGTCGCTCTGATGCTGTTCAAACAAGCACGAAATGCACTTATAAGATGGGAATCTCACGGATACAGGGTCACCAAGGCATCCTTCAAAACAAAAAAGGCAATCATAATGAATGCTATCCAGTGTTATGCACTCAACAACGAAAGCAATGACGACAATAAAGATCAGTCCTATGAGAGGCTGCAATCAATTATAGCGAAGTGTCCAGTAAAAGACCTGACCATCCTGATCAGAGACTTAAATTCCAAGATCAGAATGGACAACACCAGATATGACGATATCATGGGACGACATGGACTGGGAGAGAGGAACGAAAATGATGAGAGATTTGCGAACCTATGTGCATTCAACAAATTGGTTATAGGCGGCACAATATTCCCATACAATCGCATACACAAAGCTACATGGATCTCACCGGATCACACCACGGAGAACCAGATAGATCATATTCGTAACAATAAAAAATTCAGAAGGACAATGGGAGATATGAGAATCAGGAAGGAGGGGAGCTGACATAGCTTCAGATCATCAGCTGCTTGTGGCCATGATGAAACTGAAGCTAAAGAAACACTGGACATCTGGGGAAACATCAGTACAAAGGTTCAGTACAGAATTCCTGTGATATACTAACAAACTCAACCAATTCAAGATAACTCTCAACAGAAGATTCCGAGCATTACAAGATCTACTCGAAGAAGAAACTACGATGGAGGATAATTGGAAAGGAATCCAAGAAGTACTGACTTCAACATGCCAGGAGGTGCTGGGCCGCAGCAAGCATCATCACAAGGAATGGATCTCTATAGAAACTCTGGACAAGATTCAATAAAGGAAGAACAAAAAGACAGCGATTGACAACAGCCAAACACGAGTAGAGAAAGTCAAGGCACAAGCTGAATACACAGAAGCAAAGAAGCAAGTGAAGAGGAGCATTAAAGCCGACAAGCAGAAATATGTAGAAGAGCCAGCAACGACAACAGACAAAGCCTGAAGAGAAGAAAATATGAGACAATTATATGACACAACAAAGAAACTAGAAGGGAAATATAGTAAACCAGAGAGACTGATCAAGGAAAAAGAAGGCAAGACAATCACCGAGATTCAAGAACAGAGGAACAGATGGGTAGGATACTTCGAGGAGTTCTTGAGTAGATCAGCTTCATTGGAACCACCGGACATCGAGGCAGCACCTACAGACCTTCCTGTAGACCTCACTCCACAAACGACAGAAGAAATCAGGATGGCCATCAGACAAATCAAGAGCGGGAAAGCAGCAGGACCTGACAATATGCCAGCTAAGGCTCTAAAGTCAAACACAGAAGTAACTGCACGTATACTTCACGTGCTATTCAGGAAGATTTGAGAAGAAGAACAAGTGCCAACAGACTGGAAAGAAAAACACTACATCAAAACACCAAAGAAAGGAGATCTGAGCAAATGTGAGAACTTCTTCGACACTATGGTATACCTGAGAAGATCGTCAACATCATCCAGAATTCATACGACGGACTACAGTGCAATGTGTGGCGCATATATATTTGGTGCCCTCTTGTACCAATATTTATGTGTTTAAATAAAATAAAACTACAGTGCAAAGTCGTACATGAAGGACAGCTGAAAGATGTTTTCCAAGTAAGAACTGGAGTCACACAAGGTTGCTTAATCTCACCCTTTCTCTTTCTTCTAGTGGTCGACTGGATTATGATGACCTCAACATCTGAGGGGAAGCACGGAATACAATGGACAGCTCGGAATCAATTAGAAGATTTGAACTTCACAGATGATCTAGCTCTTCTACCTCATATACACCAGCAAATGCAGATGAAGACAACCAGTTTAGCCGCAGCCTCTGCATTAGTAGGCCTCAAGATACACAGGAAAAAGCAAGATCCTCAAATACAACACATAGAACAACAACCCAATCACACCTGATGGAGAAGCTCTGGAAGACGTGGAATCGTTCACGGACCTAGGAAGCATCGTCGATGAACAAGAGGATCGGATACAGACGTAAAGGCAAGGATTGGGAAAGCAAAGGCCGCATTCCTTCAATTGAAGAACATATGGAACTCAAAACATCTGTCAACCAATGTCAAAGTGGGTATCTTCAATACGAACGTCAAGACAGTTCTACTGCGCGGAGTTGAAACTTCGAGAACTACCATAACCATCATCAAAACAGTAGAAGTATTTATAGATAATTGCTTATGTAAGATACTTCAGATCTGTTGGCCGGACACTATCAGTAACAACCTACTATGGCAGAGAACAAACCGGCTTCCAGCTGAAGAGGAAATTACCAAAAGATGTTGGAGGTAGATAGGATATACATTGCAGAAATCATTAAACTGCATCGCGAGGCAAGCCTTAACTTGGAATTCTAAAAAGAAACGAAAAACAGAAGGACCAAAGAACACATTGCGTCGGTAATTTGAGGCAGACATAAGAAGAATGTACAGCAATTGAAAACAACTGGAAAGTATTGCCCAGGACAGCATAGGATGGAAAGTGCTGGTCAGCGGCCTATGCTCCACGAGGTGTAACAGGCCTAAGTGAGTATGTACAATAACGGTGTTGGCGTAATTGGAATAACATGGTAGGACAACACAATTTATTCCACTGAAACACAAAAGATTATGCTTATATTTGAAATTCAATCAGTTTGAAAAAAAGTTATTTATACGATTACGGTTGGATTCTAAAACCGTAATGCAACGAGGCATAAATGCATTGACATTCTGGCTTCAGATATTTGAAGAACAAGATTAAGAAACAGGTGTAGTTTATTTTTTTCAAATACAAACTTAATAATTAGCTTTTTATAGTCCTGAATAAACTATTTTTTAGATATCAGGCAACTAAGACTAGAAACTGGGAAACAATAGATAAGCCTTATTAAAATTATTATTTCGACTACATTTCAACTTACGCTTCCATGCTGTTCAGTAGGTGGAATCCATCATAACCTCCCAAACAGTAAAGTGTATCATCTACAACAACAAGACCTGCTCCTTCTCTTGCTGTAGTCATTTCTTCCAAAATTCTCCACTCGTCAATTTTTGGATGATAAACTTCAAAGGACCGAAGACGCGACTGACCATCGAAACCACCACAGACATAGATTAGACCTAAATTAAACAAGAATTCATGAGTGAAAAATAATCCTCCTTGTGAAACTCAAATCAATCGACAGATAAATAGGTAAAAGTGTAAAAACAGCATATCGTAAAAGGGAGTAGAGACAGATAACTTTAGTATGATTCGAAAACCAATTGATGAGATTTGTTATCATTAGCAATATCACAATGACAGGTAAGTCATTTCTACTGTTCTCCAAGGACAAAACTGCCCTGCACAAAATTGGTGATCTTTACAAATAAACATTTGCCTTTTAATCAGCTGGGCACCCGGGCAGCATCATAGCCCACACAAAAATCAAGTGAATTGTGTGGCGCATATGTATTCGGTGCCGCTTTGTATCAATATTTATGTGTTCAAATAAATAAATAAATAAATAATAACTTCATAAAATTCATGAGGTAGACTACCAGAAGCATAAACACATAGATGAAATACAATCAATTATTATTTACCCAGCATTTAGGTATTCAAAATAACAAAAACGAGTGATAAAGGAGAGAACCTACAGGGAATTAGTACAGGTTTAAATTGGGATTTGCATATTCGTTATGTTTCTACTATGTACGACATAACGATCTTAGCGCACAGAATAGACGTCGACTAAGGGCTAGCACTAGGTCAGCTTTTTCTTCTGCTCTTCTTCCTGTCCAGGGAGTATCCAGAAGAATCTTAGAACATAAACCGAAGAATTTGATAATGAATGGCTCCCAACTACGTGGCAACGGTTTGAGAAAACATATATTGAACACGGTTATTCAGTAGAAATTGGCATTACTTTTAGAGCAATGAATCGGCAGAATAACAACAAACTACTACATTATGCAGAAGCAGTGGCACTGCCATGATGACAGATTCACTGATGGACTTCATTCCCTTCTAGTATCTCTCGGTTTATCTGTTTGAAATCATCTTTATGTAATCGCGATACCACTTTCATTATTCACTTTAGTCAGATTTTTATTTCTAATTTGTGGTTATTACAACTACCCCTGCCACTTTAGGACTGGTCAATAAAGTGTTATTAATTGAAACATCCGATTACTTCCGTTTTCTCATAACCACCTCAACTATTATCATCATCACTATTATGATTGTTTCACTACTGTTTCTTTGGTCATCACTATAACTCACTATTTTTTTATCCACCGAAATCATATCATTTTAAAAATGCATTATGTAATCCATTACGTCACAATTCCTCAATCCATTCATCTATATAGTGAATTTTTATGAATATGGAAGGCATTTCCAAACATTTTCCACTAATGAACGAAATAAATTTATCTATGTTACAAAACCGAATAACATTTATAAAACACCACCTTGCATCAAATTCAGTGAGTATACAGGAGACTTACATACTTATTTACGCCTGTTATACCTCGTGGAGCATAGGCCGCTGACCAGCACTTTCCATCCTATGCTGTCCTGGGCAATACTTTCCAGTTGTTTTCAATTGCTGTACATTCTTCTTATGTCTGCCTCAAATTACCGACGCAATGTGTTCTTTGGTCCTTCTGTTTTTCGTTTCTTTTTAGAATTCCAAGTTAAGGCTTGCCTCGCGATGCAGTTTAATGATTTCTGCAATGTATATCCTATCTACCTCCAACATCTTTTGGTAATTTCCTCTTCAGCTGGAAGCCGGTTTGTTCTCTGCCATAGTAGGTTGTTACTGATAGTGTCCGGCCAACAGATCTGAAGTATCTTACATAAGCAATTATCTATAAATACTTCTACTGTTTTGATGATGGTTATGGTAGTTCTCGAAGTTTCAACTCCGCGCAGTAGAACTGTCTTGACGTTCGTATTGAAGATACCCACTTTGACATTGGTTGACAGATGTTTTGAGTTCCATATGTTCTTCAATTGAAGGAATGCGGCCTTTGCTTTCCCAATCCTTGCCTTTACGTCTGTATCCGATCCTCTTGTTCATCGACGATGCTTCCTAGGTCCGTGAACGATTCCACGTCTTCCAGAGCTTCTCCATCAGGTGTGATTGGGTTGTTGTTCTATGTGTTGTATTTGAGGATCTTGCTTTTTCCTGTGTATCTTGAGGCCTACTAATGCAGAGGCTGCGGCTAAACTGGTTGTCTTCATCTGCATTTGCTGGTGTATATGAGGTAGAAGAGCTAGATCATCTGTGAAGTTCAAATCTTCTAATTGATTCCGAGCTGTCCATTGTATTCCGTGCTTCCCCTCAGATGTTGAGGTCATCATAATCCAGTCGACCACTAGAAGAAAGAGAAAGGGTGAGATTAAGCAACCTTGTGTGACTCCAGTTCTTACTTGGAAAACATCTTTCAGCTGTCCTTCATGTACGACTTTGCACTGTAGTTTTATTTTATTTAAACACATAAATATTGGTACAAGAGGGCACCAAATATATATGCGCCACACATTGCACTGTAGTCCGTCGTATGAATTCTGGATGATGTTGACGATCTTCTCAGGTATACCATAGTGTCGAAGAAGTTCTCACATTTGCTCAGATCTCCTTTCTTTGGTGTTTTGATGTAGTGTTTTTCTTTCCAGTCTGTTGGCACTTGTTCTTCTTCTCAAATCTTCCTGAATAGCACGTGAAGTATACGTGCAGTTACTTCTGTGTTTGACTTTAGAGCCTTAGCTGGCATATTGTCAGGTCCTGCTGCTTTCCCGCTCTTGATTTGTCTGATGGCCATCCTGATTTCTTCTGTCGTTTGTGGAGTGAGGTCTACAGGAAGGTCTGTAGGTGCTGCCTCGATGTCCGGTGGTTCCAATGAAGCTGATCTACTCAAGAACTCCTCGAAGTATCCTACCCATCTGTTCCTCTGTTCTTGAATCTCGGTGATTGTCTTGCCTTCTTTTTCCTTGATCAGTCTCTCTGGTTTACTATATTTCCCTTCTAGTTTCTTTGTTGTGTCATATAATTGTCTCATATTTTCTTCTCTTCAGGCTTTGTCTGTTGTCGTTGCTGGCTCTTCTACATATTTCTGCTTGTCGGCTTTAATGCTCCTCTTCACTTGCTTCTTTGCTTCTGTGTATTCAGCTTGTGCCTTGACTTTCTCTACTCGTGTTTGGCTGTTGTCAATCGCTGTCTTTTTGTTCTTCCTTTATTGAATCTTGTCCAGAGTTTCTATAGAGATCCATTCCTTGTGATGATGCTTGCTGCGGCCCAGCACCTCCTGGCATGTTGAAGTCAGTACTTCTTGGATTCCTTTCCAATTATCCTCCATCGTAGTTTCTTCTTCGAGTAGATCTTGTAATGCTCGGAATCTTCTGTTGAGAGTTATCTTGAATTGGTTGAGTTTGTTAGTATATCACAGGAATTCTGTACTGAACCTTTGTACTGATGTTTCCCCAGATGTCCAGTGTTTCTTTAGCTTCAGTTTCATCATGGCCACAAGCAGCTGATGATCTGAAGCTATGTCAGCTCCCCTCCTTCCTGATTCTCATATCTCCCATTGTCCTTCTGAATTTTTTATTGTTACGAATATGATCTATCTGGTTCTCCGTGGTGTGATCCGGTGAGATCCATGTAGCTTTGTGTATGCGATTGTATGGGAATATTGTGCCGCCTATAACCAATTTGTTGAATGCACATAGGTTCGCAAATCTCTCATCATTTTCGTTCCTCTCTCCCAGTCCATGTCGTCCCATGATATCGTCATATCTGGTGTTGTCCATTCTGATCTTGGAATTTAAGTCTCTGATCAGGATGGTCAGGTCTTTTACTGGACACTTCGCTATAATTGATTGCAGCCTCTCATAGGACTGATCTTTATTGTCGTCATTGCTTTCGTTGTTGAGTGCATAACACTGGATAGCATTCATTATGATTGCCTTTTTTGTTTTGAAGGATGCCTTGGTGACCCTGTATCCGTGAGATTCCCATCTTATAAGTGCATTTCGTGCTTGTTTGAACAGCATCAGAGCGACTCCCTGTGTGTGTGGAGCATTTTCTTCGTGATCGGAGTATAGCAACGTTTCTCACGTATCTAGCATTTGCTGTCCAGTTTATAATTTGAATAGTGATAAAACTCAAACTCAGCAATAATTTAAAAGGCATAAATAACAAATTTTCAATATAATTACACGTGAATTATCGAGAGACAAATTATTTTCATACTCTGATACCTACCTTTGTTTGTACAAGCAGCAGATAGACCTCTTTTATAGTGCATTGGAGTAAGTAAACGCCAACCTTCTTCTCTCTGAGCGATATCAAGGGAGTATACGGTATTTAGTCTTTCATTTCCATCAAAACCACCAATGACGTAGACACATGTACCCAATGAACATGCTGCTACATAGCGGTAACTTATCGGTAAATCCTAAAAGATGTTAATGAAAAACATGGATGTTTTTCATATGAATTACAGGGCTTGTTGGACGATGAACTTTAGATCTATTTATTTCAACTTAATTTGAACAAAACAACACATAGTCGCCTTGCTATTTAATTTTGGATTAGCAAACAGCGTAATTTTTGAAATGGAGCTACTTTGGTAAGTTTACTAATCATAAATTAGCTACTACCACCACTACTTTATCCCTTGTTAGCTATAGGAATATAGAAACGAAGGGAGTTCAGCACTATTGAGTGCTGTAAAGAATCAATTATGAGGGCTCTTTCTTCACTGAAACATAACTCCTGCTGGTTGTCAAATGTTTGGAATTGAGACCAAAACATGAAATGAAGACAGGCAACCTATGAATGGAATGATACTTTAGACCTACGCATAGTGGTAACTTTATGCACGACCATCAGTAGCCATTCAAGAATAACAGCAAAGATAAGATTTAGAGTAAGAATACGTCCGGTTCCTTTAATCTAAGAGGGCGAGTAATTTTAATATCGAAATTCCAGGAGTAAGGTAGAATCATTAACTCACAGTTTAGTATGCGAACCTTGAAGTAATTAGTGAGTTGCATATAGATTTAGCTTGGTTTGCAATTTACAAATAAAGATCAACAAAAGTTCAAAATTGTTAAGATTCTGGATAATCTTTTGATAGACAAACTAATTTTTTAAAGACTACACATTTTTAGCTATCAGCTATAATCACAAGCGAATGAGGGAAATGAAATCTTTTGAACTTTTCGTCCTCGAATTCAGATATTTGTTTATAGAAGTCTTAGTTCACTGTACATCTTTTAAGCTAGAGCAAACAAACCTTCGACCAAAAAGCCTATAACTATTCCATACAATAAAAAGAAGAATATATTTGTAAAATCTCAGCGAATGAATTTTAAGTAAATCCAACGTTTCGCCTGGCAATCTGGTCCAAGCTTTTTCAAGGAAAATATAATCAAACAAACGGTTCAACAACTTAGATGACAAAATCAAGTTTACTAAAGAGTTGGAATCGACTGAACGCAGATTACCGTTTCTAGACTGCCTGGTTGAAAGGAAGGATAATGATTTTTTAAAAATTAATATATTCCGAAAGCCTACATATTCAGGGAAATTTTTAGATTTTAAGTCTGCGCACCCACACGCGACCAAAGTGACAGTGGCCAAAAATTTGATCACCAGAGTCAAAAAACTTGTCACTGAACCAGATGATATAAAAATGGAAATGAATTTAGTTGTATCCACTCTATTAATGAATAATTATCCGAAAGGTTTTATTAAAAGAATAATTAAGAATGAAGAACGGAATGATATTTTTAAAAAAAGAGTTAAGCAAGATTGGATGAACACAGTAGTGATCCCATATCGTAAAGGTATCTCAGAAGACATCAGAAGGATTTTAATTCGTCAAAATATAAGAGTATTCTTTCGAACAAACAATACTCTAAGATCAAAACTAGTAAGAATCAAAGATCCAATACACAAGGATGATCAACAGAATTGTGTTTATGAAATCAAATGTAATGATTGTAATGCAACGTATGTAGGTGAAACATCAAGGCAACTGAATGTGAGGGTGAAAGAACACAAACTGTGCTTAAAGCATATTCCTAAATCCTCAATTGATGTAAAAAAGCTTGAGAACAGATCAGCGATAGCATTACATTCGATTGAATCGGGTCATACAGTTGATTTCAATGGCACGAGAATCATTCAAAAAGGATTTAATTCTTACAAAGAACGACTAACAGCCGAAGCCTTACATATATGGGCTAATTTAAACAATATTAATAGGAGAGATGGAATACAACTAGCTGCCCATGGCAACTAATAATTAATAAGTAAACCTGATCTCCTTTTTGCCATTTGATATATTTATGCCATAGTAACTAATTGATAGATAATACGTTCAATGATTCAAATCCGTTATCTTATCTGAATATGTTAAACAATTGACTGGAACATTAAAAATAACACACACTTCAATTACATATACATTCCTCTTTTATTTTGTTTACTTATCTTCATTTAATGCAGGCTGTGGCATTTTGATTCATTTCATATATAAAAATGATTGTTTTCTTAATATACACAGACCGTAGTCAATATTTAGTTGAATGAAAATTTCTTCTCACATCACTTGCGTATAAACACATTCTATTATCTTAACACGTTTTGGTTCCATAACACATACCTTGTCCTTATGTGTACAAAAACAATTTGTCATAACCTTGAATTTACCTTGTAATCCTTAAGTCATTCTATGGCCTAGGATAACGCGACAATTTCTTATTCCTTCTCTCCCCTTGATTATTTTCAAATGAACTTTTATTTGTTTGACCTTTATTATTTTTCATATAAACATGTCTCTTACACATTAATATAAATACCTATTTATAAAGAAATCCTTCACGTCGATTGGATGACTTATTCAGTGTACAGTAAACCGAAGAACCATGTACCTATTTATATTCGATAATTTTGTTGTTTGATTATATTTTCCTTGAAAAAGCTTGGACCAGATTGCCAGGCGAAACGTTGGATTTACTTAAAATTCATTCGCTGAGATTTTACAAATATATTCTTCTTTTTAATGTCTCAAATTAACTCGGCGCCCAAATATTGTGAAACTATTCGTTCAAATTTAGACGAAAGTTCTTATTTATTCCATACAATGCATAAAAAATCTGTAATGCTAGTAACCCAAATAAAAAAATCGATAATGATGAAACAAATTATATCGGGAAATATATTAGGTGCCTGATAAAATACTGGATTTGAAGATTTAAAAGTTCGGAGAATGTGAAAACTTGATAACATAATAACAATAAGCAAAGTAAAGGTAGAGTCTAGTTGAACTGACTCGAAAAAAAACTTACAGAAAGAAAGACCCCCAAACACCCTGGTACGGTCAAGAGTGGGGAGAGCCAACTCTTTCCCAAAATGCTCCCAAATGGCCACGCATGCACAATCACCATCAAGGAAGCCCTACTCAGTGCCTTCTTGTGGCGGACCGGTTGGTTACGAAATTGAGAGGACGATGTCCGGCGCTTTAACCGGGTTGGTGGACTCGGACGGTTCACCTAGGGGAGTTGGAAAACCCCAATTCCAAACCAATGGTGCACATGAGCCCCAGTATCCTAAAGGAACAGAAGGCGTATGAACCAATCGTCGGTCACTCGCTACCATGGGACTGAATCGCCTGACGTTTCTCCGCTACCTTTAGGTTGAAGGTTCTGAGTAAGGCCCCTAAGAAAACCACATGCTTCAGTTTGGTCACCCGGGCAGTATCATAGCCCACACACAAATCAAGTGAATTGTGTGGTGCATATGTATTCGGTGCCCTTTGTACCAATATTTATGTGTTTAAATAAATAATACAGTAAGAAATAAAAGATCTATAAATTGATACACCTTGATAACTTACAGGTAACTCGTTCCATTCTAAGGTTCGTGGGTTGAACATTTCAACGGAATCCGAGGGGTCCTGATCAGAACCGAAACCACCAATAACAACTAAGTACTCATTGCCACCGTCACGCTGACGAAATCTTCGATCACGCATTTCATGGCGTAAATCTGGACGTAAATGAAATCGTTTAGCATCATCTACCAAATCCCGACACTCGAGAGATTGTCGAATAAGACGCTAAAATTTGGAAATTGTGAACTTATTTATAGATAAAGATTACGTTGTAACATAACCGCTTTCATTAGTCATAATTAACGTACAATCTGGAACGAACGTGAGTTAGTTGTAGATACAATCACATTAGACCAAGACGAAATTAATAAGATGAAAAATACAGGGAACGAAATAATGCAATGGCAATAATGGTGAGAAAGTTTGGCTTCAAAAGACAGAATAAAAACGTATGTATGAGTGATTACTAGGAATGAAAATTCAGAGGAGGCGAGTGTATGTACGCTAGTGTTAATAATTCTAAGGGATTTCACCCAAAGTCTCCAGCTGTTGATCACATAAATCACAATTAAGTAGTTGCATATGTCAAAATTCAAGAAATGAGGAACAAGGAGGCAGTAATCAGTATCAGCCGAACAAGGGTAGAGTAAACTAAGACACAAGCTGAATACACAAAAACAAACAAGCAGGTGAAGAGGAGCATCAGAGCCGACAAACGCAAATATGTGGAAGATCTAGCAATGACGGGAGAAAAGGCTACAAGAGAAGGAAATATGAAACGATTATATGATACAACAAAGGAACTCGCTGGATATCATCGTAAACCAGAACGACCAGTGAAAAGCAAGGAAGGCAACGTAATCACCAACATTGAAGAACAAAGAAACAGGTGAGTAGAGCACTTTAAGGAACTCTTCAGTCGACCAGCACCACTGAACCCACCCAACTTCTAAGCAGCAACCACGGACCTCCAATCAATGTTGACTCACCAACAATTGAAGAGATTAGCATGGCCACCAGATAAATCAAGAGCGGGGAAACAGAGGGACCAGACAACATTCCAGCAGAGGCACTGAAAGCAGACGCAGCAGTAACTGCAAAGATACTCAACATTCCCTTGGGCAAGATTTGGGATGAAGAACAAGTACCAACAGACTGGGAAGAAGAATACCTGATCACAATATCAAATAAAGATCTAAGCAAGTGTAATAACTACAGAGGCATCACACTATTGTCAGTACCAGGAAAGGTCTTCAACAGGGTGTTGTTAAACACAATGAAAGACTCTGTAGACGTCCAACTTAGAGATCAACAGGCAGGATTCCGTAAGGATCAATCGTGTACCGAATAAATCGCAACACTACGGATCATTGTGAAACAATCAATTGAATGGAATTCACCACTCCATACCAACTTCATTGACTACGAGAAAGCATTTGATAGTGTGGACAGAAGCTTCTTCGACACTACGGCGTGCCTGAGGAGATAGTCAATATCATACGAATTCTTATGATGGATCAAACTGCAAAATCGTGCATGGAGGACAACTCACAGATTCGTCCAAAGTAAAGACCGGTGTCAAGGAAAGTTGCTTACTCTCACCCTTTATCCTTCTCCTGGTGATCGACTGGATCATGAAGACGACAACATCTCGGGGGAAGCATGGGATACAGTTGACGTCTAGGATGCAGCTGGACGATCTAGACTTCGCAGATGATCTGGCCCTTCTATAGCACACGCAACAACAATTGCAGAAGACGACCAATGTAGCAGCAGCCTCAGCAGCATTAAGTCTCAACATACAGGAAGGGAAAAGCAAGATTCTCCGATACGATATGACATACACCAATCGAATCACACTTGACAGAGAAGATTTGGAAGATGTAAAAACCTTAACATATCTGGGCAGCATCATTGATGAAGACTGTGGATTTGATGCAGAAGTGAAGGCGCGAATCGGCAAAGCAAGAATAGTATATTTACAACTGAAGAACATTTGGAACTAAAAACAACCATCAACCAACACCAAAGTCAGAATTTTCAATACAAATGTCAAGACAGTTCTACTGTATGGGGCGGAAACCTGGAGAACTACGGATGCCATCATCCAGAAGATACATGTGTCTATTAACAGCTGTCTACGCAAAACACTTCGGATCCATTGACCAGACACCATCAGCAACAACCTACTGTGGGAGAAAACAAGCCAGATTTCAGCGGAGGAAGAATTCAGGAAGAAGCGCTGGAAGTGGATAGGACACACATTGAGGCAAGCACTCACTCGAAATCCTCAAGGCCAAAGAACACATTACGCCGAGAAGTGGAGACAGACGTGAGAAGAATGGACAACAATTGAATAGAACTAGAAAAGAAGGCCCAGGACAGAATGGGTAGGAAATGCTGGTCGGTGGCCTATGTTCCCCTGGGAGTAACAGTCGTAAGGAAGTAACATGTCACAATAGCTCACACCAACATTTGACAGCCTCGTGGGCTGATAACACGATTTCACCGCCCCTAACTTTCTTCACTCTACCCAACATTCCACATCGTAGTGGACATTAGTAACACACGTCCCAGTCAACCCAATTGATAAAGATTCATAGTCCCATTAACATATTAGGGATCTCTATCTTACCCTACGCCTAAACTCAGCACTGCTTAGTTGCTGGTGCTTCGAAGACAATTATTACCTAAAACTAGCAATCTACGAATCCCCTCGACTTCTAAAAGTCACACTTCAAACTGATGGTAGACATACATCTCACCTACGCCACCAATGACACAAGTTGCCAAATACTAACTCAGATTTCGGAATCAGTGCCTAAATTTTATCATAAACCAACCCAATAGGGCTAATGAGATTCCCAAGCCAAGTGAGGTGATTAATGCATCCAACTACTTCACTCCTTATGACAAGTCAAGGCAATGATGCAGGCCAGTCCTTAAGCGGAATAGAAACACATCTGTAATCCCAGAAAATAGAAGTTGTTTAGTATAAACAGATTACACCTCAATACTAGGCTTTTTATTAACAATACAGTATAGTAGCACCGTTTTAAATACCATAATTATTGATCGTGGTATTGAATGATAAATTTAGGAGTGCATGTCTGCACTCTTAAGTTCAACATTTTACAAAACTGATGACCAGAACAAGAGTCCATATAGACTCAAGATGGGTGATAAAACTCTAAGTAACTCTAATAACAGTTCAATGATAGTAACGTAAAGGAAAAATAACACGTTAATCTCAATGACAAACGCCAACTGGTTGACAGATAAGCCAAATAAACACTAAGCGTAAAATGTGAGAAAAGTGTTTAGTCTTTATTGTGTAAACCTACTTACATCTTTATCCACAACATCTGTGAGGAATCGAACTGACATAACTGAAAGACGAATGTTTCGAAGCAAAGAAGGAAGATTCGCGACCCTTTCAATGGGTTGATGATATACCCAGCGCATAACAGCGTTATATACAGATTCTTCATTGTCAATCTGAAAGAAAATTGCATTGATATTCATGAACCAGTACTTTTACAAACGGAAAACTGGAAAGACAAATATTGGTAGGGATCCCAAACAAGTTAACCAAACATTTTAGTACTACAGTTTCCCTCTCGAAATATCAAACTGATTTTTAAATACAGCAAGAACGAAGATTGGTGCAGAATAATATGAACTCATTTTACTTCGTTAGGTTCTCATCAGCTGCTTACAACCTATAACACTTAAAATCAACGTTATCACAGATATTGACATACTTATAAATACGAGGGTGATTGGAGATGGATATGTGTATCATGATGCAGCGAAGACTTCGATTGAGTTAATGTCATAAAAGTTTTGTTTCAGATAAATAAATTTTGGGAGGGAAAGTTCCAGAACATTGAAATGATTATTAGAACTTCTGGAGTTAACAAACATTAGATGACTGTGTAATGAAGATTAATGGTAATAATGTATCGGCAGTATATATTCTTTCTGTTCTATGAAATAGTATTTTAAAAAGTGCCATTTTTGTAACTAATTGGACAATGTATTATTCAAGGTAGATTGACGATACCTTCATCGTATGCAATAATCAACATGTAAAAAATCTGCTAAAACTTTTCAACGACGTCCATCCAAAAATCCAGTTTATTATGGAACATGAAAATGAAAACAAGTTCCATTTTCTCAATATCGTAATGGAACGAAGGAAGAATGGCACAGTTCAACGTCTAGTTTATAGAAAAGATACATGAAATGGGATATATCTTAACTGCAATAGCTTTTATCCAATCAGTTACAAAAAGACACTTTTTAAAATACTATTTCATAGAACAGAAAGAATATATACTGCCGATACATTATTACCATTAATCTTCATTACACAGTCATCTAATGTTTGTTAACTCCAGAAGTTCTAATAATCATTTCAATGTTCTGGAACTTTCCCTCCCAAAATTTATTTATCTGAAACAAAACTTTTATGACATTAACTCAATCGAAGTCTTCGCTGCATCATGATACACATATCCATCTCCAATCACCCTCGTATTTATAAGTATGTCAATATCTGTGATAACGTTGATTTTAAGTGTTATAGGTTGTAAGCAGCTGATGAGAACCTAACGAAGTAAAATGAGTTCATATTATTCTGCACCAATCTTCTTTCTTGCTCTCTTTAATATAATGAAGGGAACTATGTGTATGAAATATAAATTAGTGCTTATATTACTGGAAAACTATCCTGATGCGAAATAAGATTATGAAACGTCATCAAAAATAGCGTCCAACGCTGCACTAAAATAAAACAAATGACTTTGTAAAATACAATTATTTTTCAAGTATCTAACTATTAGTAGTGACACATACACACACAATACTGATAATATATTAATGACATTTAAGAACGGTAATAAGTGAAAACGAGTCAAAATGTAAGTTCCATGAAAATCAAATCAAAACTGTCAGTTCTAGCAAATAATGCTGTTTTCGCACGCTTATCTTAAAAGATCGAGTAAGATATGTAAGCTACAGTACATAGCCTCCATATATGTGCAGACCAATACTTATACAATCACATTTGAGATTAAACAAATTGGTCCAAACAAACTATTAGTTAAAACATAAAAACAGTAAATAATTACGATGGTAACCCATCTAATGAGGAAATGTTTAACTTGGTAAATTAGAAGTCTAAAACGTCAAACAGGCTTTGTGATAATATGCGATGATAGTATAAAATGAACGATATCTCAAATCCCCCAATTAGAGAGATTAAAATTAAGTATTCAAAGTTAATCTAATTTGCTTGATTTCTCACGTGTAAATCTTCTCTTGTAATAAGATCAAGCAATTCCTCAGGTGTGAGGCATACGAATTCCTCAGAGTCAACAACTGACTCAAAATTACAGGCTGCAAAGTTTCGTGTAAACTTTTCTAATTCTACACAGTTATGCAGTTCAGCAAATCGCCTGATGCCAAGAACATTCGTGGAATCTACTTCCGTCAAGAGAAAATTAGAGCAAGCAACTTTAACACCCTCCATCTGAACAAGACTTGCTGCTGGAAGAAGGTCTTGGACATTAGCCATGCTTACACGAACTTGACCAGTGTACACATAATCTAGAAGGGTATCCATTATTTCAGGAGTGATGGACTTGAGTTCAACTTCCAACTGCGCTGATTCAGCCATCTGATAAGAAATAAAATATAATGAATATATATATATATATATATATATATATATATATATATATATATATATATAAAAGTTAATCAAAGGGCTACATTAATAATACAATACTCTGTTCAAAAACCATGACAGCAATTCGAAACTAGGTTCAGTATCACGAATATGTCAGAAACTTAATGAAGCGATTAGGGATGGAGCTTAACATTATCTACCTCGTCAAACTTACTGACAAATCAAATCCGAAAGGCTAGTAATTACGTAATTTAGGGACCACGATATAGATAGTCCCTGCGGTAACCGCTTTATTTTAACTTGTGTTGATGACAACTGACTGAACTTGTGTTTGGCTGGCTTCTTTTCTCTTTCATTAGATTAAGCTGTTAGATTACACCTTGAATATGTTTTCAGGAGTTGGGTTGAACTAAGGTGAAAGGATAGAACGTCTAGAACGATTAGGCAAAATATTTAAACAGAACTTGAAACTTCTGCATGGGATTGTTACTTAGGAATAGGCGCTAACATAGCAAACCAATTGGAAAGCACAGAATTTGATAATTGGAGTGAAGGCACATAATGCACACAATTGATCTGAAACAGTAACCTTGTACATGTTCGGATATTCCACTTTGAATCATACCTTTTTTGTGGATTGGTTAGGGATAGCACTCCACTGCATAAGCCGAAGAAGATGAAGCTTGATTTAATTTTGCAACCTGATGTTTGGAACTCGAGTGCTTTAGCAAGCAAGCCACTTCTCTACTTATGACAAATATCTACTGGAACTCAACAAATGAAATGGTGACGTGACAAGCAAAACGAAACAATCACAATAATAAGTTAAAGGGAAAGATCACAACTATTATTTGCGACATAAAATTTCGGGTGGATGCAACTAATCCATAGATATCCAAACATATCTACTGTGAGTGAAAAGCACAAGCCAGAATTGAAAAATAGTTACTAAGGTTAACTTTTAAAACAACGATAATTCTATAATACACAAAAGTTCATTTTTTCTGTTTGTTCTGTGTCTTTCTTAGACTCATCGAACGTACTCACCTGTTAAATATTAGTAAATGCCATCTACACATAAGAAGTATGCAACAGTGCTAAAACTCAAGATTTAGAAGAGAATCAAGAATGAACTATATATATATATACCATTTCTTTTAAAAACGAAATATCCAAAACACTTCGCAACTCCAGTGAATTCTACCAATAATCACAGAAATATGTAAAACGAACAGTTCATTGAAAGAAACTAAATAAATTCAAAAATAAACTTACCCCACTTGAAAACATGGCGTCAAAATAGTCGCTAGAAGCTGCCAAAACTACACGGTGAGCTAAAAATTCTCTTCCCTCTGCTTTGATAACTACATCACAGAGCTGCCCCTCCTTGCGAAATGCATTCATCTTTTTGAATGCCGTTACTGAGTAGTAGTCCGTACCTTGAGAAAAAGTAATAAAATAAAAAGAATTCTACATGAACAAGGAAACGGTAGACGTAAGATGTTGAATACAATTCAGCCCCATGAACTAACGTTCATTCCCCAGTGTATCACATTTAATTATTTCAGGATTGAATACAGATGGTAATACGAATTATAAAATACTGAAAGACATTTATACTGTAAATAAATAACCAACAGACACGAGATACTTTATTTGGAAAGTTGCCAACAGCAAATATCTGTGTAAAAAAGGTAAAGTAGGTCTAAAATGGGGAAAAAGAATACATGTACCCAGGATCACTTGGCAACGAACTTAAAAAGTCTCAAGATAACATATCATTATGAATAATCGTTGGAAACTATTTATTTATTTAAATACAAATAATAGTACAAGGGGCATCTAATACATGCACTCCTTACTTCGTCATTCGATTTTTGTGACGACTGTGACACTGCCCGAACGTCCAAACCAAAGCAGGTGGTTTTCTTAGGGCACTACACCCAGAGCCTTTGACCTACAAGTCTAATACACAAGACAGTGAAGTAAAGTTAGGAGATGCACTTCCATAGTAGCCGGTGACCAAAAATAGGTTCATACGCCTTTTTTTCTTTCAGGATACTGGAGCTCATGTGCACCATTGGTTTGGAATTAGGGTTTTCCAACTCCCCTAGGTGAACCGTCCGAGTCCACCAACCCGGTTAAAGCGCCGGACATCGTCCTCTCAATCTCGTAAACAACCGGTCTGCCACAAGGACTTCCTTGATAGTGATTGTATGTGTGGCCATGTGGGAGCATTTTGGGGAAGAGCTGGCTCTCCCCACTCTCAACCATGCCAGGGCATTTGGGGGCAATCACTATGAAAAGAAGCTCATAAATGTTTGCGCTAAATTAGAAGCCCAGTGCTAGTTATCTTGTATTTTGTGATTAACTAAGTAAAATTTGGCAATGACAGGTTTCTAAGATGCTTAAAATTGGTGTTAAAAAACAACCTATTGTGCAAACAAATCAGTGAATACAATATAGTATCTAAACTAGATCACAAGAAATACCTGCTCCTGATGCAGACTGTGTTATATTATACGGTATGATTCAGTGCATAGTCAATGGTGATTGTGCAGCTAGAGAGTATCCTCTCACTCTAACTCCTAATTCCAAAGCAATTTTGTGAATAAAGGTCACCATCTTGAAACACCGACTTCGGTAGCTTGGACATGTTCTACGAATGTCGTCCCAGAGAATTCCACGTCGTGCATTATTTGCCGCCTCTGGGACTGGTTGGAAGAAGCGGAGAGGTGGTCAGTGTATGACATGGTGTCGTGGTATGAAAGAAAGCTGCAAAGGACTGGCTTCTGTCGGTCCTTCACGACTCCCTGGTTGGGGTCTGAGAGATGGTGCTACACAGTGGTAGAGACGTTATCAGATATGGCTCAGAATAGAAGCCAGTGGCGATCCTGCTGTAACCTTCTTTTACTTTCTTCATAAAAAGTGGTTTTGTCTCCCTTACCTGAAAGATTTCTTCTGATTGTACCTTTCCGTTCCCTCATTACTACCACACTACCTTACACCAATCTCTTCGTTATTGTTCTCTTTTTTTCGCTCTCCCTAGCTTTTTTTTCTATTTCCCTTCGAATTCTCATTGTTTTGTGTGGCGCATATATATTGGCGCTCTCTTGTACCAATATCCATGAGTTGAAATAAAATAAAATAACCAAATGGATGAGTGAATTTTGCGCCAAAATCTGTTATCGATCTGATTGGTTCGTCCATAAATTATAGTCTCGCCGTGTTTCGCCTTACACAAGCAGATATTGGGTTTTGGGTATCAACTCAAGACAGGCTAACTAGTCATAGATGCATTAAAGCTTTGGTGAGAATATTTGTTTTCATTGGGAGAATGGACCCTCAATCTATAACAGCCACCTAATAAGGTTATGATCGTCTTATAGTTTATTTGGTCTAAAACTATGCTATTTGAACCTATATAGTATTTATAGCTTATACATGTAACAACAACATTGCAGATGTAAAAATAAACAACTTTTAGGTGAAACACTAGCAATATTTATTGGATGATATCGAGCGTAAAATGAAAAGGTTTGTAATCGTTTACAAGGGAAGCTTGTCAAGAAAGGATGAGATGATGTAACACTTTAACTGTAATCAGATGGACATACCTTCGTCCATAAGCGTCCGCCCATCAGATTTTATGCCTTGCTTTTTTGGTAGGGTACCCATGAAATATGGAGCTCTATAACGTCGGCAAACAACGGGTGATTTGTGGACGATTTTAGAAATTACCTGAGTGCTGAAATGCCCAGGGTAAAAAAAAGCGAGGTCCTTTAAGACATTTACTAAAAACGTATTGACAACAAATTTAGGCTCCACTTATCATTCCATAAAAAGACTCGATGATCAACGATGCTGAAAACATGTAGCGGAAAGGCCAACCTTACCGCCCGTGGGATTGATTCGAGAAAGTCCAATAATTATCATGCGGAATTTTTATTGAATTAAGATTTGAAAAATAACGAGAGAAAAAAAATAATATGGATAAAATATAACAATGATCAAACACCTATGGTTATGTCTCAATCATAACTCAGGTGTGTTTTTCATTTAGCTTTAGGACAAATTTTATTAGTTCAGATGAATTGTAACTTGTGAGTCATCACAAACATCTTGGTAACATTACTTACTACCAAAAATTATTCGTGAGGAGATAGACGTTTGGTTTATCAACTTTCAAACGGATGTGTTTTAAACTGTTAATCGCTGAACTTAAGGCTATGGGATTAGTAAAGTTTCTACCGTTGTGTGTAACGCCGTCGCTATTTCTAACCAGTTAGCGAGTATTAGTAATGCCAAATCACGTACAGCTTCCGATTGACATCATAAATATCTTCGTGTAACGGTGATTGTACTTAAGGGCGAAAGCATTATTAAGGTACATTTTACTTCATTCCTATTCAGATTTATTTAAGTACCATTCGTTTACATTATCTTTTACAGTTTCTCTCATTACAATAGATATTTATTCTTGCAATGATGAATTTCGATAAAATCAACTGGAACGCATCGCTGAAAGTCCTCCAAACCCGGTCTATTTGAACTGGCGCAGATCTTGAATTTTAAAGTCGTTTAATTTGGGAATGGTGGAGAAGTAATTTTCACCACCTTCGCACAAGTGGAACGTCTTATATTGTGCATCTTTGAATCGACGTTTCTCAAATTAATGCTTCAATTTCGCTATTTTGAACTGTTTCGGCTCATACTTCATGAATAGTAACCTTGATCTAATTTACGGGTTATACACCATGTGTAAGATATTTATACCAGCTCTTATCTCGACATTTTAAGATACCAAGCGTGCTGCAAAAATATTTTCGTTGTTAAACAGGTCCACGGTGACGTATTTTGAGAATTTGAACTGACTTATTGCCTCTGGCCATTTAAAAGCCAATAAGTATTATTTGTCTTGTTAGCTAATTATTTATAAAGAGATGAACTACGCACTACAGTACGACCTAGATGGGTTCATATTTGAACTTTTTCAGAACGTCATTCATATTAGAACGAAGTTTTCCGTAGAATACATCACCAAACTTAGTTGTATCTAGTTAGCTTATACGCCAAAAATGTAGATCCAAAAAGTTTTTATGAATTACTATTTGGTTAATAATAGCAGACAGCAGCAACAAACATTCATGTTTATTAAGCGTTGCTGAAGTTTCGGTTGCACCTGATTATTCTTGCCATTTACAACCGACGTAGGTGCCTTGAACACTCAGTCTGTCCATACTGTTGGGAATTATAGCTAACCTTTCCGTAAATAGATGGTTATGCACGTGAAAAATTTGATACGTTGTATAACTTAAAGTATGAAACTCGAAATTCGTCTCCTTTAATGCAATATATCTATGGAAATCCTTATTTTCTCAGGGTTAACGATTAACTGTAGTTAAGGGCTTCAAAATGATCTGCAGGAATAATGCGAACGGCCAGTAATTTTTCAGTAACCGATAAATGATTTAAATTGCGTCATTTTTCATAGTTATCATCAAGCTAAATATACGTAAACTATGAATAATATTGAGATATTTGTTGTGGGGTTCTCAGCAATGTTCATGATAAAACCTTCTTATTTTGTACCCGTCATTCATTTGTCCTAAACTGTACTGTTTTTTAGGAAATATCAAAGACCTGTAACTAAGCTGAATTACGGCATCGCAGAGCTGCCATATAACGAGACTGGCATAACTAAATCAATTTTATTTTTCATGCAGAAGCAGTTGAGATAACTTAATCACAGGTTATAAATAACTTCATCATCAATTTGCTTTTGAAATGGCCTCATTTACCTTATCTTTCAAAATAGGGAATTTGTGAGGACGCTTTGAAGAAGCTTACCAGACAGGAATAAATTACTTGCCAGATGCTTATTACCTATCTAGTCGAATCGTCAATGAATGAAACTCCTCATCTCAACACATAAATGAAGGCTCACCTACAGACACATGGGAAACAAAGTACGGGATGAACCACAACAGCAAGTATCGTGATTTCAAACTGATGTTTTACTACAACTCCATGTTCAGCTGAGATCTTACTGGTATTCATTGTTGACCTATAAGCATTGCTGTAAATAGGATGACATAATGGACGGCAGTGTACGAATGGAGGGCGTTCATGGCAGTGTGAAAGAAAGTATGGCCAAGTTTGAAACGAGTTTAGGATAATTAGACGATGTGTTTTCCGTAATTATACAAGAACCAATGTTATGTTTATTATCAAACATGATCTCCTCATTTACCGAACCTCCTTCAAAATAATTCGGAGAGTAAGGGTTGGTAAACTGTTTAAGGTTTGTTGATTTGCTTACTGGGTGGTGTAGTTAGAGCCTTGCGAAGTTTCACTTTACCAGCAGTAGAAAAATACTCGGCATATGGTAGACTGAGAATGATAAGAAAGTTATGGTGATATCCTGATTATAACTCCCGTGTGGCTTTATTTTAGCTTTAGGACAAACTTTATTAGTTCAGATGCATTGTAACTTTTGAGTCATCTCAAACTTCCTAGTAACTATATCTTCTTCATGAGAAACTAAGAATTGCGATACGTGCATCTCTTTTATCCATTTTGGAGTCCATTTTATTCTTGTAAGTCTTAAGCGTGGACATGTTTCAGATTTCTATTTGTGTATTGACGACAGAAGGCCTATGGTCTATAGCAGTTTTTTCTAGTAAGCTCCGGAGAACGTCTAGTATTCTCTTGAATGAGCTGGTTGAAGGGGTGGACACCACGTCTTCGAGTAACTGGTTCCAAGAATTGATGACTCAGTGTGAAAACCTATACGCCAAGCGTATATTGTCCATTCTTGGCCTTTGTACTAGCCCGATATTTCGTGATCCGATAGCAAGAAAAGAAGAATAATTATTATGTCCAAAATCATTTCTCAGTGTTTGGTACATCACAATCGGATCACCTCTTAGTCCGCGGCAGAAAAGAGTAGGGAGGTCTAGCTTTTCAAGCCGCTGTTGTCATGGTAAACCCCGGAGTTCCGGAATTGCATGAATAGCTGCCCTCTGTACTATGTCCAAGGTATCAGGGCCAATTTGTAAACAGGGACATGTAGCCCGAAAATGGTTTTCAAGTTTGGATCTCACTTAGGTCGTATATATTGCACTGAACATGATAGTAGTGAATGTCTGTCTTAAAGCCCATAGGGTTCTACACCCCTTAGCTGCAAACTCCCGGCAGTGAGTCGTGGTCTTCGTATCATCACTCACCGTCACACGAAGATCCTTGTGATACTGGACCAATGGCATATTCGTTTCGATCTTTTGTGTTATTTCAACAAAACTATTTTTATTATGCTTATATGCATATACAGTCCAAAAAGCAAAACACAATTTCTTCGTTGAGAATATGCTTGCTTATATGTTTTCTATTTTTTCGAAAGACCAAAAAAATCATTTTGCAAAAATCGTTTTTACGCTACTGCATGGTTACGAAACGCATGTATATGACTTTATTTTCCTTTATTCGCTCACCTTGTGTCTTTACGCACGTACAAGTGTGGTTTGACATGCACCCACATATACTATTTTCTTTTATAAGACTGCTGAAAATGAAGAAAAAGACGTTTAGGGTGAATTGAAATTTTCATTGTACTTGTTTTCCATTACTATATTGCACCACATAGCCCCTTATAGTAATGCAAGCCGACTAGATACTGCTGAATGGCGTTCACGAACGACAAATTTGTTGGGTTTGAACTTCTGGCTGGCCACGTCTTAGGGTCATCACTACCACACTAGGAGGGAGCGATCTGTAGCATAAAAAAATCCGCAAAATCAATAGTTCTATAAGTCTTCGACATTTGATGTAGCAACTGAATCCGTGCGGTAGTGCTTTCACTACTGTAAGGAATTCCGCACGTGGATAGGTTACGTTGTGCCCATGGAAGTTAGCTTCTGCTCAGCAGAACTCGGCTTTGATGTTGTCAGGCCAGAATGGCATTAGCTGAGATGAGGATAGCGTGAGAGTCTTGATCTTAAGTAACTTGGAGTCTGTTCGGTCATGATGAATATAATGTATAGGAATTGTGAGGACGACCGACGGATGAACTCGAAGAATCTCTAAGAAACTCAGAAAGAGCCGAAAATTTTTCATCCAGTCACCTTCGGAAGAACATTCCGGAATACCTACGTGTAGCTTCCCTATTGAACAAACGCTGAAGATCACTGTATGGGGATTGAATTACTATAATGATGATTTCGTTTTTGCTAAAAACTATAAATACCTCAGAATTTTATACCATATTTGATACTGTTTGGAATAGTTTTCCTTTTGCTTGTCTCCTATCTTCTCATTTGCTACCTAGAGGGTTCTAAATTTGGGGTGCTCAAGTTATACGCGGTATATCAAGAATCTAGGTTCCATATATAGCAGGAGTGAACGAGGGGAGGATAAACATCCAGGAATATGAAAAAATATCACAATGTATAAAGAGTGAAGTAAGGAAATGACATGTAAAATCCTGAAAGGAAATAGATCCATAGTTTACAAGCAGGTGTAGCTGCAAATAAATCCCCAAAATCAATAGCTCCATTAAGTCTTCGACATTTGATGCTGACTTATTGGATTTAATGGATTCACCTAACTGGATGCGCTCGGCTACGCTTCCACACTAGATCACGAGTGGTTACGCTGTACTCCACCTCTCTTACAACCATTAGACAGCTTAGATCAGTCACTTCTCGATATATCTATAGCCTATCAAATATATCCTCGCTCCCGACCTCTACTTTCACTGGGTTGGGACGTTTCAATTAAAGATGTCGCTGGTTAAGGTGTTGTCAAACTCCAAATACTTGTGTTATTGTTAGATCCATAAAGGGACGTTTTGATGTATACATTGTAGTGGAACGACAATGATGCCAATAACATATACATCTTACTTAACTCTGTATAAATTCATCGGTTTACAGCGTTAGTGAACAAAGCAATAACACAAATTGATTACAAGTGTGTTTCCAGAT